ATATATATATATATATGTAATAATTCCTTACCCGAGGAATTAGGAAACAACAAGCTGTCGTACACCAGTGGATGCCAAGTTTAAAACTAAAAATTCTGCAACATTCCTGAGATTATAAGCAATTCTGTCAAACAGAATCCATGACATTTCGTGTGGTACAATTTTATCGATGTCTTCTCAAGGCAGTACGGTTATTTCGGTAAATAGTGTCTACTGTTCAATCGTTAGTAGTCAATAAAGTGAATAGAATTGTGGCAGCCGGCAAACGCTAAGATGCAGACATCAAACCGGAAAATACCGGAAATGGCTAAGTAATCAGACGGTCGGCCGTTAGATAAAACGATCAACATTCATGAAACGGGAAAGCCTGATACGTCTAATGTCGTGTGGCCACAGTCTGCTAGGGGACTACACGAAAAACATCAATCCGTTGAAGGACTGAGCAATACTCAGTGCCACAGTCTGCTGGGGGACTACACGAAAACCATCAATCAGTTGAAGGACTGAACAATACTCAGTATCATGGCGTCTACTCTAAGTAAGCAGGCAATAAATGTCGGAGAATTTATTAATTTTCCGTTTTCCGGCCAGGCATAGAAGTACAACCCATGGTGGGTCACTGTTTTGGGCATTCGCAGTATTTGCTACGATTATTCCTGTCTAAAATAAGTTAAGCCTGTTAGAATAATCATTACATTGGCGGGATGAGTTTTCTCATACATTCAATCGCAATTTATTAAACACATCATTTTTAACAGTCTCCAAGCCCACAGTTGTACGGATTTCCAACTTCTCAACGGGTGTATGGATTACCTGGAGAGTCAATGACGGCACTGTGAATCACAGAATATCAAAGTTTTCCTTGCAGTATCGCGTTCTGATGCCAATTGCACAGGATTATGCAATGACCAAGGTCAAACATCGCTTCATCCGCCAGAGCAAAGAAAACGATGAATGGGCTGCACGATTCTGGTCACAGCCCAAAGATACCAACATTTCCACCAACCAGTCTTTCTTTTGTCTGAATGCTCCCATGTACTTTCAACCTGGAAATATATACAGGTGAGGACACAAAAGGCTAGTTCATAAAATCCATTGGTATTTAATTATTTCCTCTCATCAGAAGTTGAGCATTCCGTTTGTAGTTATACGACGTAAAAAGGATCTAGTCCTGAAATATCGATTTCCGATGTGTTATCTCATATCATATCTTATCCAATCCACTTACTGTAAAACTCCCCAAAATAGACACCATATTTATAGTGCCAGGTTTACTAAGTTAAACTGCATCGTGTCGCATGCACGAGTCAGAAAGTCGCGCTTCTATGGTCGCCATGTAAGACAATGCAAGCGGTTAGCCAAAATCAGTGCATAGACGTAATATACTACTTGTAAGGTTGTTGAGAACATCACGAGCGGACGGTTCACCTCGGTTGTTCTAGGTGAGTTTCCCGTCCAAACCGAATTGTTGTGCAAATTTGTTAATTACGGATTTTTCTTTCTCAGATATCCACATACCACTAGATCCGTCGAGAGTGTTCGGGTGACTGTACTTTTGTTGGCAGTGTGCTTTGCTTACAACGGCACGGCGTCTTGCTGATGAACGCTAGGATTTCTGACCTGTAGGGGCTCAGAGAGTAAATTTTGTGGAAAAGACCAGGAAGAGTTCCTCCAATGTTGGTTTACAACTGTGAAGAAAGGTCGTTTCAGTTCTGTTGACCTCCCAACATACTCTGACGAGGTTGATAACACACTGCAAACAAAATTAGTTTGCAAATGAGTGTATACTCGCCAATTTCGTGCAATTCGGTTTCAAGTGGAACATAAGGTTGGCGGAAACTCGGGGACGTGCCTACCTAATAAGCCCCAAAAAGGGCGAAACCGGTCGTCGGATGTCGATGGATTTTCAGCAACCTTATGAGTAGTGCATTACAACTCCTGCAGGATCTTGAGAAATAGCCGAAGTTATACCTGGTACATTTAGATTTGCATCGTTACTCTAGCTTTGCACATGAAATGCAGTTCTGATCACTTCTAATTCTCCCGCTTACCGGTGAATACGTTCGAGTGTTCAGGTGCGATATGTCAGACGCGTCCCGCGTGCGCTGGTGTAATAATCGTATCATCACCGATCTGACAACGGATGTCCAAATCTCGCTATAGGCACAGATTTGTGCTGTTGGTGTGCTCTAACACGAGCGGGCTCAAAGTCCAGCGTAATCCATATGGTGGCACGGACTCCAAGAATATCTTCGTCAGGACACTAATCGGGCCGTTCAAAACGGAGTGATGTTAATGACAGCTTGAAAATGCGTCCACTCAAAACTAATTAGCAACTTTTGAATTTGTTGTATCGTGTGTGGCCGTCTATGGGTTACGCCTGCACCGAGCCTGCCAGACTACGCGATAGGGAGAAGAGAGAGAACTGGGGACACGGCTGTATGGCCAGGACAAAACATAGAGGGCGTCCGCGTAATATATAGGGTGACTAAGTGGCCAAATATGCTCGTTCACTTGTTCGTTCCGTACAGCCAATGGTGGTGTTCCGGTCGGGTCAGGCCCACTATGCCGATCGTACGTTTTTAAGCTGTGTTTGGTGAGAGTCGCCAACTCACCTACTTTCCGGACGTGTTGAACCGATGGTGACCTTGGGGATGCGTCACTCTCTGCACATGTGCTTTTTTCCTGTCTGGACGCGTCCTGACAGAAATTAACGTTTGCAGACGACTACATATGACCTTGGTAATCGATTTTCGCCATTGGAGAATTCGTCACCAGCCAATCAGCACGTGACCATTCGTTGTGGATTCCGTAGGCGAAGGATCAGTGGCCTGAGCTAAGCACACTGCTGATCAACCGCTCGTGGGTAGACGGTTTAGTCCTCAGCCAGTAGCTCAAAGTTTACGGGTTCGAAACTGCCAGGTGTTTCGTGAGATGTGAACAAGTGATGACTGCCAGCGAGGAAGGAACTGTGTTTCCCAGCTTTCAGCATAGATTGGATTCACCTGAAGGGGAATGTCCCCAGTGAAAATCCTCAAATCCCCTCACATTGCCGATAAAATTTTCACCCGTGTTTGTGTGCGAACTCAGTGTTGCTTGAAACTTGTATTGTTTGTGAATACTTGAAGCTGTGGATTGGCGGGATCCATCATTTACGATCGATCCTTTGGTTGACTTCAGCTCTATTGATTACTTCTGGATATGGACAGCAAAGCTAACTGGCTCTAATTAACACGCAGTGCTTATTGCATTGTATTGCTTTCTAAACGCTTCCCATTACGCTTCAATTCAGCGTCAGAATCATCGCCAACGAGGACCAATTCGTCCAACCCACCATTCAACCAAAAGTTTATCAAAGTTCATGGTCTGATGCAATCAGCCTGGAGAATTTGTTGCCCACAAAACCACGAGTTATTTCGCTCACAGCCCAGGTAAGGAGCGACAGAAATCTGGCGCCCAAAATGACCATAATTTGCCTCTCGTTTTCTTCTCGTTTTCTACGTT